TTTAGGGTAGGGTTTAGGGTTTAGGGTTTAGGGTTAGGGTTAGGGTTAGGGTTAGGGTGAGGGTTAGGGTGAGGGTTAGGGTTAGGGTTTAGGGTTAGGTTTTTGGGTTGGTTAGTTTTATAGAGGAAGGGCTCTTAGGGTTTAGGGTTCTTTTTAGGGTTTAGGGTTTAGGGTTAGGGCTTAGGGGTTAGGTTTCGGTTTAGGGTTAGGGTTAGGGTTAGGGTTTGGGTTTGGGTTTAGGGTTTAGGGTTTAGGGTTTAGGGTTAGGGTTAGGGTTAGGGTTAGGGTTAGGGTTAGGGTTTGGGTTTGTGTTAAGGGTTAAGGGCTAAGGGTTAAGGGTTTGGGTTAAGGGTTTGGGTTAAGGGTTTGGGTTAGGGTTTGGGTTAGGGTTACGGTTTGGGTTCGGGTTCGGGTTAGGGTTAGGGTTTGGGTTTGGGTTAGGGTTAGGGCTAGGGTTAGGGTTAGGGTTAGGATTAGGGTTAGGGTTAGGGTTAGGGTTAGGGTTAGGGTTAGGGTTTAGGGTTTAGGGTTTAGGGTTTAGGGTTTAGGGTTCGGGGTTCGTGGTTTGGGTTAGGGGTCGGGCTTCGGCTTAGAGCTCGGGTTGGATTCAGGGGTAGGGTTTAGAGTGAGGATTAAGGGTTACAGTTTGGGTGGGGGTTTGGGTTTGGGGTTAGGGTTCGGTCGCGGGTTTAGAGTTAGCGTTGAGGGTTCGGGTTAGGGTTGGGGTTAAGGTTCGGGTTAAGGTTCTTCGAGGTCTGGGGCGAGCTCCGGGTTGTAAAAAAAATAGAAGACTGTAAGAAAAAAAAAGTGGGCGCTTATTTTTTTGTACGGGGGCTTCCGGGTCCCAAGAAAAAATAAGAGATTGTAAGACAAAATAAAACATTGTAAAAACAAATAAAAGATAAGAAAGGACAATAAAACATTGTAAAAGAAATATAAAACAACAAAAAATAAAGGGTTGTAAAAACAAATAGCCTATTTTTTTTACCGGGCCCTCCGGGTTGTAAAAAAAATAACGGATTGGAAAAACAAATAGCGACATCGAGCTCGCTATTTGTTTTAATATCCTTCTTTGTTTTCAGATCTTTTATTTTGTTTAAAGGGTCTCCCGGGGGGGGGGGGTCGCTTCGCTTGTGGGCGCGGGGAGGAGAGTGAATTCTCGAGTGGCCGGGGGGGGGGGGGCCCCCCTGTGAGCGCGGGTGAGAGAGTGGAGTCTCGAGCGCTGGGGGGGGGGGGGGGTCCCCCCCTTTGTGAGCGCTGGGCGGATGAGTGAGTCTCGAGTGGGCGGGGGGGGGGGGGGGCCTCCCCCTTGTGAGCGCCGGGGGAGAAAGTGGAGTCTCGAGTGCCAGGGGGGAGGGGAGGTTCTCCTCTTTTGTGTGCGCGGACCAGAGAGTGAGTCTCGAGTGCCGGGGGAGGGAGGGCTGCTCCCCTTGTGGGCGCCGGGGGAGAGAGTGGAGTCTCGAGTGCCAGGGGCGGGCGAGGGGTCTTTTTTTTGTGAGAGAGGAAAAAAAGAAAAGAAATAGAGTTTCCAGTGTCGAGCGAGGAGCTTTCACGCGGGAGAGGACGAGGGTCGCGAGCGTGCCGGGGGGGGGGGGGCCCCCCCCCCCTTGCCGCCGCCCATCCGGTTCTTCGTGCGAAGGGGGGGGGGGGGGGCCTCCCCTTTGAGTCCCCCCCCCCCCCGGTGGCTGAGGGTTTTTTTGTTGTCTATCGCTCTCTCGATGGTTTTTGATTATTCCTGACTCTTTTGGAGTACAGTTTGGCTATGTTCAATTATTCTTCCAACATCGGCCTGTAGGGGGACAGACCCGACCTAAGACGAGGTGCGGCCTTGCGAAAGCTCAAGGGACGATGTTTTGATTATTTATGACTCTTTTGGAGTACTGTTTTGGCTATGCTTGATTCTTCGTCCAAACATCGGCCTGCATGGGGGGCAGGCCCGACCTATGACGAGGTGCGGCCTTGCGAAAACTCAAGTTATGATGTTCCAACTTACTTTAGCACTGATCACCGGAAGCAATTTCGAGCGCAGCCCTAAACTCGAGGGTGTTCGCGTGTCGGGCCCTGGGAGACACTGTTTCGACACTCTTTCGACACTCTTTCGACACTTTTCTGGGAGCTCGAGATGATTTCTGGGATGCGGGGAGGGCACCGCCAGGATACCGACCGCTGTGCCTCCGCGTGCCCCCAGGAGCGCGCCTCGACGGAGGAGGGCACGGCCAGGGTGCCGAGGCATGAGAGCAGCTGCTCTGCTTGGGGCTCGGGCGGGGCCCGCTGTGCCCGGAGCCGCTCCGTGGCTGCTCCTCTGGGCCTCCCCGTGCACCCAGGCTGTCCTCTGGGCTTCCGTCGGGCCTGGCCCTCTACAGGAGAAGTGCGGTGGGAGGAAACATGAAAAGCTCGAGGGCGTGCCCCCTCCCCCGACAGCCCCCGGCCCCCCGTTGCGACGCGGAGCGCCGCCCTCCGCACGCGCAGCCGCCGCCGCACCGCAGCCGCTCGCGCTTCCCCTCGGGTCGTGCAGAGAGCTCGCGACGGCTCGCGCAGGAGCGCTCCACCTCGAGAAGGACAACCGCCCTCCATCCATCCAGCCAGTGATAACTCCTACCGTCACACCTTTGCTCCTACTCCCCTCTCCTCCTGAAATCAATACATCATGTCCTCATCATACATTAATGCCTCTGCGCCCCTAAGTGCATACTACTACACTCCGCCTCATCCTCCTCTCCTTACCCGTCCTCACGCTTACTCCACCGTCCCTCCCCCCTTCCTTCCTCACAAAATACCAATATGAATAGACTCTCCTCCTTACCATGATGACGGGTTGGGAGGTTTGCCCCCCCCCCCCACCCCCGCGTTACCCGCGTATTGTTTTTTTTTTTTACACAGGATTCCCCGGAGTTGGGTTTTCGCCTGCATTTGTTCAAAATGCTGCCCTCGCTGAGGCGCCGGCCTCATTTCCGTGCCCCGCTCGTTCCGAATCGTGCTCCCGCTGCAGCGCTGGCCTCATTTCCGCGCTTCCGCTCGTTCAGAATCGTGCTCCCGCTGCAGCGCTGGCGTCATTTCCCGTGCCATGCCACGGCATGCAAAGCAATGCTAGGATGCGTTCCGCTGCGCGATGCCATGCCTTCAGCTGAAGCTGTGATATGCAGTGCTTAAGTGCCACGTCGTGCTATGCCATGCTACGCTTTGATCTTCAACGCCATGCTATGCAATGTTATGTTCGGGGCCGCTGTGCGATGCCATGCTTTGCGTTGCAAAGCTTTGTGATGCAATTCTTCACTACGCCACGCCACGCCATGCTGTGACATACTACGCTTTGCGGTGCTCTTCTACGCCATGCCATGCCGTGCTCTACAATGCATCGCGTACCCTTTCGGGATCATTGCCCTGCTCGACATCCGACTGTGCGAGTAGAGAGGGGATCTGCGCCATGGTAAGGGATGGGAGGGAGGGTAGGATGTCAGATATGACGCGAGCGCACCTAGCTTGCCCTCCCCCCTCCTCCTCCTCCTCCTCCTCCTCCTCCTCCTCCTCCTCCTCCTCCTCCTCCTCCTCCTCCTCCTCCTCCTCCTCCTCCTCCTCTCCTCCTCGGCCCCTTCTCATGGCAGTGTGCTCCTCCTGGTCGCTCCTCCGGACGTGCTGGTAGGGCGGGCCGTGCGTTTCGCGCGCGACGGTCTCCCAAGTTGTGATCATGCAGCTTGCGAGTTCCAGCAAACACAAGGGTAGGGTTAAATCGGGCATAGTCTATGGACGATGTTTTGAGCAGTTGTTGGCCAGCTTGGGGTATGTGTTGACTATTTGTTATGTTTCGTCTAAACTCCCACTGTAGGATGACAGGCCCGACTTAAAAATGTTGCACCTTTCCAAACTAGTGGTAATATGTAAGGGCATCGCACCCTGCCGCTGGCCCCCTCGCTCGGAGATGGGGCATGCAAGAGCTGTGTTGTGAGGCCTGGGCGCCGTCGTGAAGCAGCGTCGGAACTCCGAACGGGGGCCATTGGAGATATGAGCGTGCCAAAATCCATCAAAAACCTTGGTGGTGCTCTTGGAGCGCTCTTGGGAGCCTCTTGGGCCGTCTTGGGACCATCTTGGGCGCCTTGGAGCACTCATGCATGGGCCGTCTCGGAGGCCTCTTGTACCAGCTTGGAGGCCTTCCTGTCGGATTGTGGCATTGAAAGCGCGAATATTGCATTCATTACGAGGGTTTCTGATTTCGGGGACGCGAATAACGTGTAAGTTGCAAGGGATCGTCGCTTCGGGGGCGCGAGTATTGAGTTATTTGCGAAGGAGTATCGCCTCGCAGACGCGAATCTAGTATAAGTTAGAAGGAAGCGAAAAAGTATTCCCACCAGCCCATCCAGAAACGATGCCCAGGCGAGTTGCCTCTCAGAGTTTCCTTGGATGTCTCTTGGAAGCTTTTTGAAGGCCTTTCGGAGCGTCTTGGGGGCCTCTTGGCGGTCCCGGGTGCCTCTTGGAGCGTCTTGGGTGCCTCGGGGAGCCACTTGGGGCCTCTTGGGGGTCTCTTGGGAAACTCTTGCAGACCTCTTGGGCGCCTCTTGGGGCCTCCTGGGCGCCTCTTGGGGTCCTCTTGAGGCGCTCTTGGGAGCCTTGGGAGCGCTTTTTGGGCCATCTTAGAGGAGATCGATCAAAATTGATGGGAGCTTTCATTACGTTCCCCCCTCGGGAGCCCCACAGATCGCCTCTTGGACCCCTCTTGGAGCGCTCTCGGGGCGCTCGTGGGCGCTCTTGGGGCTGAGGCAACAGCCACCCTGTCGGGACTGCCAGTTGCGAGCAAGTCCCATGCGACACGCTGGGCCTGGCCGATGGACACGCCTGGGGGATGCGACAGGGAGGAGCTGTTTGCGAGGAGGTCGGATGGAGGAGGGCACGGGGGAGGACGCGAGGGCGGGGCGGCAGAAGCGGGGGGAGGAGGGGGCGAGCAGGGAGGCGGACGGGGGAGCACCGTCGACCCTCGGACCTCGGCTCGCAAGCGCGCGCCCGCGGAGGCAGCGGCAGCGTGCCGCCGCACTACTAGGAGGCTGCGCCGCGCGGGTGGCCCCCAGGGCGCCAGGGGCGACCGCGAGACGGAGGCCCGGGAGGGCCAAACCTCGAGGCTCGAGCTCCTCCTCCTCCTCCTCCTCCTCCTCCTCCGCCTCCTCCGCCTCCTCCTGCTCCGCCTCCGCCTCCTCCGCCTCCTCCTCCTGCTCCGCCTCCTCCGCCTCCTCCGCCTCCTTCTCCTCCTCCGCCTCCTCCGCCTCCTCCGCCTCCTCCTCCGACCTCCGAGGAGGAGGAGGAGGAGGAGGAGGAGGACTGGCGCTCGATCGCTCCAGACTCGTCTTGGGCCCCGTGGTCGCGGGGAAGTACGTCCTCGCCGCCGCGGCGCGGACCCGCCTCGCGAAAGGCCTGCCGGAGCGCGCGCGTCCCCCTTGGGCAGGTCCGGAGGCCCGCGACGAGGCGCGCAGAGGCCCAGCCCCGCGGGCGGCTCGAAGAAGTGGCCGTTGGTTTCCCGAGGTTCGAATATCGGGGGCGGCAAAGAGAGGGGTTGATGACTAGGGGGGGGTGGATATCATGGCGCCTCTTTTGGTTTCGTGACGTCCCTGGCCCCCCCCCCGTGGGCCGCGCACGTGCCGCCGGCCATGATTTGCACCCCCCCCTCTTGGACGCCCCCCTCTTGGCCGCCCCTGAGACTAACAGAAAAAAGTGTTAGCCAGCGCGTGCTCAAAACAGTGAGTTAGCGTGCAGGCGATACATACATAATATACATATATGGGAGATCCCGGGCCCCGGGCCCCGGGCCGGAACCTCCCTTGTATATAGGGTGCGGCCCTCTCCCGGGGCGCCCTTCCGGCGGCCCCCGCGCGTTCCAGCCCGCCCAAGAGGGCTCCAGGAGCGCCGAGAGAACCCCAGGATCGCTTCAAGACCGCCAAAGATCGCTTCCAGAAGGGTCAAGAGGCGCTCAAACCGCCCCAAGAGGCCTTCAAGAGGCCCCCCACGAGCGCCCCGGGAGACCAAAATGGCCCCATTCCCTTCGTAAAACGTACATTTTTACGATATCAGCTCCCTTAGCTGTCGGAGCGGCCAGAAAGCCCCACGAGGCGCCCAAGGACGCTCCAGGACGACTGAGGACAGCCCCAAGACGGCCCAGGAGGGCCTCCCGGGACGCTCCTCCGGCGGCCCCCGGGCTGCCCAGTCCGCCCAAGAAGGCTCCAAGAGCGCCGAGAGAACCCCAGGATCGCTTCAAGACCGCAAAAGATCGCTTCCAGAAGGGCCAAGAGGCCATCAAACCGCCCCAAGAGGCCTCCAAGAGGCCCCCCAAGAGCGCCCCGGGAGACCAAAATGGCCCCATTCCCTTCGTAAAACGTACATTTTTAGGATATCAGCTCCCTTGGCTGTCGGAGCGGTCCGAAAGCCCCACGAGGCGCCCTATAGGATAGCCCGAAGACAGCCCAGGAAGGCCTCCCGGGACGCTCCTCGGGCGGCCCCCGGGCCTCCCAGACCGCCAAAGAAGGCTCCAAGAGCGCCGAGAGAAGCCCAGGATCGCTTCAAGACCGCCAGAGATCGCTTCCAGAAGGGACAAGAGGCCATCAAACCGCCCCAAGAGGCCTCCAAGAGGCCCCCCAAGAGCGCCCCGGGAAACCAAAATGGCCCCATTCCCTTCGTAAAACGTACATTTTTAGGATATCTCATCCCTTGGCTGTCCGAGTTGTCAGACAGCCCCAGGAGGCGCCCAAGGACGCCCCAGGACGCCTGAGGACAGCGCTAAGAGGGCCTAGGAGGGCTTCCTGGGACGCTCCTCGGGCGGCCCCCGGGCCTCCCAGTCCGCCCAAGTTGGCCCAAGAGACTTCCCGGTCGCCCCGAGAGGGCCCCCGGAGCGCTCCGATACGGCCCAACATGGCCTCCAGAAGGGCCACGAGGCCGTCAAGACGCCCCAAGAAGGCTCCAAGAGGCCTTCCAAAAGGGCCCCGGGAGCCAAAACTTACTCCACGCCCAAGAGGGCCCCAGGACGGCCCCAAAAGGGCCTTAAAAGGACCTTCGACAAGGCCCGGATGGCCACAGTTCGTTGATTTGCGTGAGATGTTGTTGGATTTCTTCCGCGCGGAGGAGACGGAGAGGGCGAAGGAGGAGGGAGGAGGAGGAGGAGGAGGAAGAGGAGAAGGAGGAGGAGGCAGGGAGGAGGAGTGGAGGGGAGGAGGGGGGGAGAGAGGAGGAGGCTCGAGGGCGATCGACGATCGGCGACGACGACCGGCGACGGTGATTGACGACGACGACGACGACAACGATGACGACGACGACGACGACGACGATCGACGACGGTCGACGACCGACGACAACGACGATCGACGACGATGACAATAGTCGACGGCGCCGATCGACGATCGACGGCGACGACGATGGCCACGCCGACGGCGGCGACGCTGCCCGCGTGACAGCCCAAGAGGCACACAAGACAGCCTCATCGAGGCCCCAGAGGGCCCCAAGACGTCCAAGAGCGCCTCAAGAGGGCCCGAGATGGCTTGAAGATGGCCGAAGAGGGCCCCAAGAGGGCCTTCAAGAGGCAAAACTTTACCCATTCCTCTTGTAAAACGTACAATTTCAGCATACTCGCTTGCTTCGTCCTCAGCCCCGAGGAGCCCCAAGACAGCCCAAGACGGCCCCAAAGGCCCCAAAGCCGGCCCAGGAGGCCCCCAAAACGGCCTCAAGGAGGCCCAAGAGGGCCTCGTTCGAAATCATGTTCCCAGAATTTTCTCCGGGAGCATGATTTCCGGCTCCCAGGACGCCCAAGAGGGCCCGAGGACGGCCCCAAAATTGCTTAAACTGACATTCAAAAATTCCCAGAGGGCCACAGTTCGCTGATTTTCGCGAAATGTTGTTGAATTTCTTCCACGCGGAGGAGACGGAGAGGGCGAAGGACGAGGAGGAGGAGGAGGAGGAGGAGGAGGGGGAGGAGGAGGGGGGGGAGGAGGAGGAGGAATACGAGAAGGACGAGGCGGGGAGGAGGAGTGCAGGGGGGAGAGAGGAGGAGGAGGCTCGAGGGCGATCGACGATCGGAGACGACGACCAGCGACGGTGATTCACGACGACGACGACGACTACGACGACGACCGATGACGATCGACGACGATGACAATAGTCGACGCCGCTGATCGATGATCGACGGCGACGACGACGGCCACGCCGACGGCGGCGACGCTGTCCGACAGCCTCAGCGAGGCCCAAGAGGGCCTCAAAACGTCCAAGAGCGCCTCAAGAGGGCCCGAGATGGTTTGAAGTTGGCCGAAGAGGGCCTTCAAGAGGCAGAAATCGGCCCGCTCCCGTTGTACAACGTACGTTTTCAGCATACTTGCTTGCTTGGGCCTCGCAGTGCCCCAGACGCCCCCGAGCCCCACAAGACAGCCCAAGAGAGACCCAAGAGGGCCCAAGACGGCCCAAAAGGGTCGTCCTGTGAGGCTCACGGAACCCCCAAGACGGCCCAAGAGGCCCCAAAGTTGGCCCAGGAGGCTCCCAACACGGCCTCAGGGAGTCCCAAGAGGGCCTCGTTCGAAATCATATTCCCAGAAGCCTCTCCGGGAACATGATTTCCTGGTTCTCAGGACGCCCAAGAGGGCCCTAAGACGGCCCCAAAAGCCTTCAATGGACGTTCAAAAAGGCCCGGAGGGCCATAGTTCGTTGATTTGCGCGAGATGTTGTTGGATTTCTTCCGCGCGGAGGAGACGGAGAGGGCGAAGGAGGAGGAGGAGGAGGAGGAGAAGGAAGAGGAGAAGGAGGAGGAGGCGGGGAGGAGGAGTGGAGGGGCGGAGGGGGGGAGAGAGGAGGAGGCTCGAGGGCGATCGACGATCGGAGACGACGACCGGCGACGGTTATTGACGACGACGACGACGACGGTCGACGACCGACGACGACGACGATAGAAGACGATGACAACAGTCGACGTCGCCGATCGACGAACGACGGCGACGACGACGACGGCCACGCCGACGGCGGCGACGCTGTCCGCGTGCGCAAAGCCACCCTGGAACCAGTCTTTTCGGCATCGTTCGAAACCCTGTCCCCGGAAGCGTCTCCGGGAACATGATTTCAGGAGGAGGAGGAGGAAGAGGAAGAGGAGGCAGATTAGGAGGAGGAGGAGGAAGAGGAGGAGGAGAGGAGGATGAGTGGGCGGGAGGGCTCGGGGCCGATCGACGATCGGCGACGGTGATCGGCGACGGTGATTGACGATGACGACGACGGTCGTCGACGGCGACGACGACGACGACGACGACGACGACGATGGACGACGATGACAACAGTTGACGCCGCCGATCGGCGAACGGCGACGACGACGACGTCTTCACAGTGCCACCCCGAGGAGCCCCAAGACGGCCCAAGAGGGACCCAAGATGACCCATGATAGCTACAAGCCAGCCCAAGAGAGCCCCAAAAGGCACCCAACAGAGCCACAACGGGGGCAAGCAGAGCTGCCTATAGAGATTCTCGGGAGGCCTCTTCCGCAGCGTCCGAAATCATGTTCCCCAGAGCCCCTATAGGAACATGATTTCGGGGTTCCCAGGACGCCCAAGGGGGCCCTAAGACGGCCCCGACAAGTCCCAAAAGGACGCTCGAGAAAACCCGGAGGGACACAGTTCGTTGATTTCCGCGACATGTGGTTGGATTTCTTGCACGCGGAGGCGGTGGAGGAGGAGGATGAGGAGGAGGAGGAACAGGAAAGGAGGAGATGGGCGAGGAGGAGGGGGAGAAGGAAGAGGAGGACGAGGGGGGGAGGAGGGGGGTGGAGAGGGAAGGGGGGCGGGGGGAGGAGGAGGGAAGAGGGATGATGATGATATTGATGATGATGATGGTGATGATGATGATGATGATGATGATGATGATGATGATGATGATGATGATGATGACGGGGAGGAGGGGGGAGGGGGGGGGAAGAGGAGCAGGAGGAGGAGGATGGGGCGGAGGAGGAGGAGGGGGGGCGGAGGACGAGGAGGGGGGGGAGGAGGAGGGGAAGGAGGAGGAGGGGAGGAGGAGGAGGAGGAGGAAGGAGAAGGACGAGGAGGAGGAGGAGAGGAGGAGGAGGAGGAAGGAGGAGGAGGAGGAGGAG